GAAACACTAATAATTCATTATACTTTAAAAATGAATCATTGAACTTCTGATAACTTAATTTGTAATTGTTAGGTCTGATAGTCATGGCGGGATTAGGGAAGGGAGTAGGAAGATAGGTTGAGGCAGGGTGGCACTGTGGTAAATCAGTGGGCTCTGGAGACCAGCTGTGTGGCCCTAGGCAAGTTACTTAGTCTCTCTGTGGCTCAGTCTTCTCATCTGTGAAAAATGGGGAATAATAAAAGTACCTACCTTACAGAGTTGTTACTGGGAATCATTGTGTCAGTAGTAAAGTGCGCATGTCAGCGCCTGATGCATAGCTTATATCTCCTGAGTACTTGCTATGATATGTTGGTCACTTATTTCTTTTAAAATAGGAGCTGTCAGCTTCGAATACCTCTAAAGAGATAGCAGCCTCGCCTATTTACTTGCCTTTCTCCCCACTAGACTCTGAGTTCCTTTAGCCATCTTCGTATCCCTAGCCCTTAGCCTGTAGGAGACACCCATAATTATTTCTTGAATGAATTAATGAGCAAATGGTAGTGAGCTACTGCTTCTTCTTTCTTTCTCCTTCATCACGGAAGAATGAAAAAGGAGCGTGAATTCTGCCACGGTGTATGATTACTCTCTGGGGGTTGTCTGACCACAGCAATTAAGAATTCACAAAGATGATTAATCTTACACAGCTGTGCTAGTAAAATAACTTTGATAGGCTCATTGAACGGGAATTTCCCTAAAGGGTCATAGAAGCCATCTCCCTGCTTTTGGGCAGGTGGTTCTAATATAATGCAGAAATGTTAGCTGTGTACTATTTCTAATAAATCTCCAAAAGAGAGAATTACTTATCTTCCTTGATGCTAATATATAATAATTTAGTGGCCTATATCTCTTATATAGGAACTGCATTGGGTAGTTTTAAAGGCGTTAAAGATTTAGGTGAGGTACAATGAAAATGGATGTCAGATTTTGGAATGAATTCTCATTCAAGTGGCTGTTTTTCCTACGTTAGAGATTCTTTGAAAATAAAGTCACTAAGTATCAATACTATGTGGCCTACTTGGCATTGTATCTAATGAGAGGTCCGTTGATACACCAAGTGATTTTCCTTTGTGAGGTCTTTATCAAGTGCCTTCTGTGTAGTAGGCATCTGCTTGGGGCCGGGATATAGTAGTGCATACTGTACACATGGTCCCTGTCCTCTTGGAGCTTGTACTCTAATGGTAAAGTTAGAGTCTGAGCAAGCAATTAAGAGGGCACTGAATGTTTTTAAAGAAGATCTTGGTCAAGGGATCTTTCTGGGGGAGTGACCTTTAAGGAATGAAAAAGGGAGAAATTCACCCAGACGAGGATGGAGAAGTAGGTAGGGGCTAGATCATGCCAGGACTTACAGGTCACGTGTGGTGACTTTGAACCATGTCAGCTTACCTAAGCTGTATCATGTTTCCCGGAAATCCTTTCCTTGTATGGCTCTGGCTTAGTGTAGGTCATAAGAGACATGTAGCAGACTTGGAGGGCGGAAGTGAAGCATAAGCCACACTTTTCGTGTTCTGAAGGTTGGTGCAGGGCTCCATGTGCTATGGCAGGTTGTGCGTTGAGATCTGCCAGCTCACCCCACTGGTGTGGGGCAGCCCCCGCCAGATCTCTTCCTTCAGCTTCCTCAAGCCCCGGCCAAGTGCGTGTTCAGCTCCATGGCTAAAGTTGAGGTTGGGGTTGGTGAGTGACACATGGGTTCCAGTTTGTCCTCGCAGTTTCCAGTTGTCCTGAGATCCCAGTTCATCCTCAACATTTCCAATGTGTCCTTGCTCTTGTCCACATCTGGCTGGCCTTCTGATCACCAGTCTGGTTGATCTATGATAACTGCTGGCTCAGAACTGGAAGCAGAGGCAATGGTTAACACAGACTGCTCCATCAGCTCCCACAATTGTGTAGTGTCTACACCCTGTGATGAATCTCTTTCTTTATCATGGTGATTCTTCTTGTTTGATCACATGCCGACTGATACATCATAAGGAGGATTTTGGTGTTTATCCCAAGAGCAATGGTGACTGTTGAAAGGTTCTAAGCTGGATCAGAATTTTTTCTATTCTTTCTGCAGCATGAAGACGGGCTTAGAGCGGTGGTGGTTAGGACAAGGACAGATATGAGGAGATCTATGGGTAGAGAATGCCAATGTTAGCCAATAAACAAGTTTGTTAGTTTGTTTTTTTCTCTCCAGAATTAGGTTACTTCTCCAGCTCTTTCACAATTTGGTAAGGCCCCATGGCTGGGTCTTGAACAAGGAATGAAAATGGATGAGATGTTTGCCCTTTCAATGCTTGGCAACTCTTTATGCTCTCTCTCTTCTCCAATCTGCTAGCCAGAAGCAGAAGACCCAGTAGAGGACTCAAAAGCCCTAGAAGATGGTGGAGCCATAGGATAGCAAGAGTCTGGGTCCCTGGACAACAGTTTGCAACAGGAGGCCCAGCACCAACTCTCATTGAACTTTGCTGGTTTGAGAAATACATTTTTATTTGGTTCAATCACCCAGATTTTGAGCTTGTTTGCTAAAGTAGCAAGCATTATTTAACCTAAGTAATATAGAATGTGGACAATAGATAATCATGGAATAAGGTACTGGCAGTGGAAATAGAGATATTTAGAAGGTAGAATTAGTAGTTCCTGGTGGTCAATTAGATGGAGTGGTGTTAGAGAAGGACACGTTAATCATTAGACAAGAATGTGTCCAGTGTTCCTAGGTTGAATAGCAGGGTGAATACAGTGAACTAAGTGAACTTGATATTGGCTCGACCGATAGCTTGTAATGTCTCATGATCCATATGGCATTTTGTGTTGTTTTTTCCTTCTACTTCTTAAAGCATCTCTAAGATTATATTACAAAGTCTTATCTCTATCAATTTCTAATTTTTAGATATAGGGGTCAGCCTGCAAAAGAGGAAGGTGGTTATCATCAATCTTGCTAGGTATTTTCCTCATTTTTGTCCTCATCCGGGCCTCTTAATGAAAGACAAAGGTGATATAAAATGAACATCCCCAGGCACATTTTTTTTGTTTGGGTTTTCATGGATTGCAGTTGCCAAGAGGTGCTGAGGATGCTTCTAGGGGAAAGATGATTGCTAGCCTCTACTGTCCAACCAATATTTATGTCTTGGAGGATATTGACAATTAAAATGGACAACAGTGATTCTTCATTTCCTCTGGCTTTGGATATCGGCCCCTTGGAGGGGTATTAATATCCATGGCCAAATGGGAATTTATTGATATCAGTTTTTATAAGTCACCTACTACCAAATTTGGGTGCAAACCAGTAATCCAGATGTGGGAGACATAATACGCCATCATTAGTCTCTAGATCCACAATCTTCATTTCCTCTGCTTGCCTTCCTTTCCTTTTCTCTGGATAACAATGAATTGTCAGGCTGGTCTAAGTGTGCTGATTTGTTCACTCGTTCATTCAACCAGTAATCTGTTCCAGGTAATGAACAGAGTACTGGGGATGCAAACCCCAACAGGTCGGAGGTCCTATGTTACAGGAGTTATATTTTAGTGAAATTATAGAAAAATGATTAGGCAGTTTTAGTCCAGAGTGGTAAGTTCTATGGAAACGTGTAGGAAGGAAACCAAACCCAATCTTAAGGAATCAGGAAGGCTTCCAGAGGAGTGGCAGAGAAGGGGTCATGAGGGGAGCGGAGGAAGGACGGAAACGCTTTTACTAAGGGGAAGTGTGTTGGACGGGAGCAATTTCTTGATCTTACACTGGTGATCTTTGCGAGGCACTGTCCACCACACAAGAGAGAGGATTCCTTAGAGCTGCTCTACACTGTTCACAGAAGACTCTGTTTCAAGGAAACTGGGAAATAGGGAATGTCTTCAGCTTGTTCCTCCTTTGGGATTTGTTTGGGGTGTGAGTCTTTCAATATTTTTAATCTAAATTTGTCTCTGGTTGTGTGTACACATCTTCCTACTTCTTTTACTCCCTCTAATATCGTTAGACTGCAGAAAAAGACCCCGATGAACTAGATAGGGTAAGGTCCTGGGACTGGATTCAAACATACATTATTTTCATTCTTCTACAAGTGCCTGGTTATGATGTGAGGGAGACAGTGCTTAAAAACACAAAGGTAAATGGACCTACAGTTTTAGGCACCAACATACAGGGGCAAATGTGCCTGAAAATGATAGTTCAAGAAACATGGCTCCTGATGTATGTATGCAGCTGTGATTGGCAAGAACATGATTGTCAATGTGGGAAAAAGCTGAAGTAACCTGGAATACACAATATATAAAACTTCCCTGGGATCTCCAAGGAATGCTCAGGTGATTCAGATGCAGAGATCCACGGAACATGATTTTAGAAAATGGTGCTCTAAAGAAAATCAGCTTAAAACGAGAGGTTTAATTTCTTTTTTCCCCAAAGCTCCATGGAATTGTTTGCCATTCGTTTTTGGCTCTTCCTGAAGACATTTCCACATGATGACATAGGGAGAGCACATTTGCAAATCACATTCAGGGTGGTGAGAGATAATGAAATTGAAGTGTCAGCAGTTTGCAAAAGGAAGCTTTCTTTTTTTCCCCTCCCAAGCCCTGTTATTACCTTATTCGATTTGCACTTTATTTTGAAGCACATATATAGAAATAAGCAAATTATTAATTCAAGCTTGTCTTCAATTTTGTGCTTGGCCTGCAAACCTCTAACATCTCCCCTAGTTCCCCAGGCGGACTGCTGAAGGCTTGGTGATAGGCTGAGGAGGGCATATTCATTATTCAATATGAGCTGCAAGCAATTTGATATTTCATGTGAGCATGTGGCAGAGCTGAGGGCAGTGGGGGGGGGGGGGAAGTGTCATTCAGGGGAACATGGTCTAGGCTACTACCATTTTCATGTTTAGCTGAAGGCTTAACATTAGCTGTGCTCACATGTTTCAAGGATAAGGATAATTCCATTGAGAATCATGGCTGCAACCAGGTGTTTTTGTCTCTGTGACATGTCCTATTTCTTTGTGCAGGGAGCACTTCTTGAGCCAAGCCATATGCTCAGCATCACGGGAGCTTCATGTGTTCCGTCTGGAGCACTGGGAATAATGAGATCCTGAACCACAAAGGGCAGAGTCCCTGGAAAGCAGCCATACTTGGTGGAGGTGGGGAATGCTCATGGTCCCCAGTTCCTGAGGCCTAGGAAGCAGTTCTATATGAAGTCTGCATTGTCTGTCCACACCTCCATTCCCAGGGTGGGCATACACACCGCTTGAAGGAGTCCTGGGCCTTCTTAGTCCCCCGTATAGGAGAAATGGGCCCTGCAGTCTTCCTTCTGCACACATCAAAAAATGTCTTTTCTTTTGCTTAAGAAGGTTACCACCACGCTTTAAGATCATAGAGATTTAGAATGAAAAGATCATTAGAGTTCACTTTTTTTAATGTTTATTTATTTTGAGAGAGAGAGCGCGCGCGCGCAAGTGGGGGAGGGGCAGAGAGAGAGGGAGACACAGAATCAGAAGCAGGCTCTGTGACTCGATCTTACCAACAGTGAAATCATGACCTAAGCCAAAATCAAGTCGGATGCTTAACTGACCGAGCTACTCACGCACCCCAAATTCACTTGTTTTAATGCCCTCATTTTTACCTATGTGCAATCTTGATATTAGAGAGATTAGGTGATTTGTCTGGGGACACACAGCTAGTTAGATATAACCTGGGGACCAGACCCCAGATATCTGGAATCTCAGTTGAGTGCTCTTTCTACTAAGACACCAAATACTTAGAACAGCGCCTAGAACACAGAGGGAACTAAATTTATGTGTGCCGAGATGAAAGTGTTTTTTGAAAACTCTAACGTTCTCCTGAAATGTTCGGTCCAGCACATGTTCATTTTCAAAACCTTTCCACCATGTCGACAAAAGTTCTGAAAAATGCCCGCTGGGCTATCTGAGAGAGCTGGTCTGCAGCTTTTGGAGTTCTGGAGATTGGATGCACACCCCTCCACCACCCAACCCCCTTTCCCTGGTGTTTCATGGCGGGATGGCTCAGTCTGCCATGGCTGATCTGCTAACTGAGTAATATCAATGGTCACTTTGGGATGAGCACAGTCTGTGTGTTTGGAATAAGTAATGAGTAAAATGATATTGGGTTATCAGGGACAATAGCAATGAAAAAGCCTGGGCTGCCCTCACCCCATTTAGGCACTAAGTGGCTTCCTTAAGCAACAGACCTGCAGCTGATGGTCTCGGCAGCCTCCTTGTGGCCGACTAACGTGCCTGGTTAGTTGACAGCCGAGGACACTCAGGGCACAGAGCACAACTGAGGAGTATGGGAGACGACAGGTTTTAGTTGAGGTGCTGGGCAAATGAGCACAAGGTCCTGTTAGGGCACCTTGTGAAGTTAGAAGTGAAGTTAGAGACATGAAGAGGGAGAAATAGGAACATCAGGGCAATGTGAAGAAGCTACTGACATCACATTCTGTATTTGCTTTCGCTTTAGTTTGTACACACACATGCGTGTACACACTGTTGAGTTTATGGTCACACTCCAGGTGTGACTTTAAAGTAGTAGTTTTCCCATGTGATCTGGGAAACCTGGAGGTCCTGAGACCTTTCCAGGGAGTCTGTCAGATCAGAACTACTTTCATCGTAACATTAGGATATTACCTGTCTTTCTCACTTTCAATTTCTCAGAGTGTTTTCCAGAACGCACAACATGTGACACACAGCAGATTAAATGTGGGAGGAGGTATGAAAATCTGGTAGTTTTCTATTAGCCCAGGTATTGAAGGGATTTGCAAAGATGCAAAACCATGCCATTATTCTTACTCCATTTTGTTTTGCTCTGAAAATGTAGTCATTTTTATATAAAAGTATGTTATTTATATTAACATGTAGTGGGTTTATTATCATTCTGAAACGAATCAACAAATATTTTAGACATTTCTCAGTTTTTAATTTCTAATATGGTAAACATCAATGGCTAGAACTCACATAAACAAAAGTTCTCTGGAGTCCTCTGCAATTTTAATAGTCTTTTTTTTAAAATGCTTATCTTGAGAGAGAGAGAGAACATGTGCTTGAGTGGAGGAGGGGCAGAGAGAAAGGGGGAGAGAGAGAATCCCAAGCAGGCTCCACACTGTCAGTACAGAGCCCCAAACGTGGGACTCCATTTCACAAACCATGAGCTCATGGCCTGAGATGAAATCAATAGTTGGACACTTAATTGACTGAGCCACCTAGGTGCCCCTTGAAGCCTTGTTTTTGATCCATAATGTGTGATCCTTATCGATAACCTACATTGGTAATCAAACTGGGCTTCAAGTGACTTTGGATTCTTTGCGCAATCAAAATCCATCGCTCGAGGTACCAACATCTGCAACCAATGAGGTTATATCAAAAGGATATGCCCGAGTTCAGAATGCAGATCCTCAGTATCATGGAAATTAAGTAGCTTTCAACGATTCTGCTTCGAGGGAGATATGTGTATTAAGAATGTTTAAGTCCTGGCATTTTTGTTAAAACTTGATCTCTTATTACTTTATAGTTTTATCTCACAAAGCTCAAAGCCATACTACACATACACCAAGTTGCTATCAAGCAGAGTGCTTATTTGTATACTAAAATAAGACCTTATGTGTTGTCAAATACCTTTTTGATTGGGTAATGTCTTTATCTTGTTTTCAGTGCTCTGTGCTAATCCTCACAAACAATGATATGTACAAGTGAATGCCGTGTTCCACTGAGGTCTCACATCCTCCCATCCCCCACCATGGAGCAGGAAGCCTGTTGGTGCTACTTTTAAAAGGGTGCATTATTTTTGTGTGTGTTCACAGGAACCTGCCTGGTGATTATATTTTAGAACAATTTGCACATTTTCTAGGAAAGAAAAAAATTGGTGTAGTGTTTTGCAAAGCTCTTAGGAAAGAGAAATCTCAGTGTTTCCCATTAGAATCACCTTTCACTAGGCTGTGTGGCATCCTTTGCAGGTGAATCACCCAGGGCAGTTTTGGTGGTGCACACAACAGGACTGAAGGGGTAAAAGGCAATCAGAACTCTGAACGGTGGAGGTTTACCTTTTCTGTCTTCTAGAGATACGGGGTATTGATCTAGTTCTGCTGCAAAGCTCTTTGCTTTATCACTGAATTTTAAACAGAAAGCATCTTGAAGTGCAGAGGCTGGCGAATTACTAGGAGCAGAGGTATTTTCGCAAACATCAAGGATAGGCAGGCTTTGGAGTTTGCAATGGCAGGGCCCACAGCTACATCACTGTATTTTCTAATGTTAGTGCTTTTTTTTTTTTTTTAAATGGGAAACTGCATTGGTTGATAGATTATAAACTGCCTCTCCCACCTATTTACCCCACTTCTCTTGACTTTTCTACTTCTCCATTCCAATCTCTGGTACTTGTGACTTACTTAATGTGTTCCTTTCTGGAGACTCTGGGGAATAATCTCTTTCCTTGACTTTCCCAGCTCTTAGAGACTGCCCACATTCCTGGACTTGTGGCCCTCTCCTTCATTTTCTTTTCTTTTTTTTAAATTAATTTTTAATGTTTATTTATTTTTGCAAGTGGGGGAAGGGCAGAGAGAGAGGAGACAGAGGATCCCACGTGGGCTTTGACAGCAGGGAGCCCAATACGGGGCTGGAACCCATGAACTGTGAGTCCACAATCTGAGCTGAAGTCGAAGGTTCAACCAACTGAGATACTCAGGTGCGCTCACCCCTGCCCCCCTTCATTTTCAGTCACAATGTTGCATCTCTCAGCTCATCTTCTGTGATCATACTCCCTCTCACTGACTAGGGACAGGTCTTCTGCTTTTGGGGACTTGTGATCACATTGAGCCCACTTGAATAATTCAGGATAATCTCATCTCAAGGCCCTTAACTTTAATCACATCTGCAAAGTCCTTTATGCCAAGTAGGATAACATGTCCATGGGCCCAGGGGATAAGGGTATTGACATCTGTGATGGGCCAATATTCTGCCTACCACACACATGGAACCTGGCTGAGTGTGCCAGCATCCCTATGAATGAAAAGCACCAATCTGTTCTCAGAGAGATGCCCCTGTGTCCAAATGAACCAAATCTCATGCTGAATCAGTGACTTTACTCAGTAAGTATTTATTAAGCCCGTTGAACACTCAGTATTTGTTGAGATTAGCGTTCCTTTCCTAAATCAATGTTATATATTTCTTTAAAAAAGTTTTTTTAATGTTTATTTATTTTTGAGAGAGAGAGAGAGAGAGAGAGAGAGAGAGAGCAGGGGAGGGGCAGAGAGAAAGGAAGACACAGAATCCGAAGCAGGCTCCAGGCTCTGAGCCGTCAGCACAGAGCCCGACGCGGGGCTTGAACCCAAGAACCGTAAGATGATGACCTAAGCTGAAGTCAGACGCTTAACTGACTGAGCCACCCAGGCGCCCCAAGCTATATATTTCTTTAGCCCAGTTTTAGGTTTACAGAAAAATTGAAGAGAAAGTACAGAGAGTTCCCATATATTCCCTCTCCTTTGATTTTCCCTTAGTATTGGCATCTTGCACTGGTGTGGCCCATTTCTTACAACTGACGAATCAGTACTGATACATTAACTAAAGTGCATAGCTTACATTAGGCTTCACTTTATGTTGTGTAGTTTAGAGGTTTTGCCAAATGTATAATGTCCTATATCAGCCATTTCAGTATCATACAGAATGATTTCACTGCCCCCAAAATTGTTTCATCTGTTCCTTCTGTCCCCCTGTCGTCCAGCTCTTGATAGCCACTGATCCCTTTGCTTTGTAGAATACCTGGGCCTTTTTCAGAGTGTCATACAGTTGGAGTCATAGTATGTAGCCTCTTCAGACTGGCTTCTTTCACTGCATAATATACATCTAAGTTTCCTCCATGTCTTTCCGTGACTTGACAGCTCATTTCATTTCATCATTGAATAATATCTACTTGTACAGATGCACTGCAGTTTATTTACTTTTCACCTACTGACAGAACATCTTGGTTGCTTTCGGTTGTTGGCAATCAATAAAACTACAATTAATATCTGCATGCAGGTTTTGGTGGGGACATAGTTTTTATCTCATTCAGGTAAATATCTAGGAATGCAATCCCTGGATCATATAGTAAGACTATATGGAGCCTTGTAAGAAACAGCCAAAAGATCAGTGTCTTTCTTTCTTTCTCTCTTTCTTTCTTTCTTTCTTTCTTTCTTTCTTTCTTTCTTTCTTTCCTTCTTTCTTTTTCTCTTTCTTTCTTTTTCTCTTTCTTTCTTTCTTTCTTTCTTTCAAATATTTTTAATGTTTATTTATTTTTGAGAGACAGAGAGAGACAGCACGAGCTGGGAAGGGGCAGAGAGAAAGACACAGAATCCGAAGCAGGCTCCAGGCTCTGAGCTGTCAGCACAGAGCCTGAGGCAGGGCTTAAACCCACAGACTGTGAGATCATGACCTGAGCCGAAGTCAGACACTTAACCAACTGAGCCCACCCAGGCGCCCCATCAGTGTTTTCAATTTAGAACTTCAGAGTAATTGAGGAAGGTTGAGCTGGCAGTGTCCTGGGCCTGCTTCTAAAACCTAGACCAGAGAAGTACTGTTTTTATGAACTTTACATATTGAAGTTCTGAGTAAGATGCATTTACAAAAGAATGATGCAGCTGGAAAGCAATTTGAACGCTTTTGAAAATCTGATGTGCCATTACAGATGTCCTTTCCTCCCACCTTCTCCTCCACTGTTCACCTTGCTTGGGAGCCCCGAAGGTGACTTGTATTATAGCAGGGGGTAGTTAGATTCCCCCTTACAGAATCAGTGACTTTGACGGTCACACGGCCAGGTCTGATCACACTGGTGAGAAGGCACACAAACCTTGTCTCCTGGAGAAAGATAACACTGCAGTCTGGAAACGATGAAATTATTGTCCTAACAATAACATATGAGAGTGCTCTGCAGAAGAACATAACTCCCTAAGGGCTTACAGCTATGCAGCTATTTGTCTAGATAAATACACACACCACATGCCACCTACTCGTGTACACTCCACTGATGACTGATATGCACAGCCTCAATGGACTCTTTTATGCTGCTACGGAGACTGTCTTAGTAGTTGGCAGGGTGACTCGGGTTTGAATTCCAGTTCTACCACTAACTTCCTGTATGACTTTAGGAAAATGATTTATCCTCTGTAAGCCTCAGTTTCCCCATCCATAAAATGGAAGTAAGAGTAGTATCTACCTTGTAGGGTTGTTGTGTGGATATGATGAGACGATGTGTGTAAAGCCCAGTTCCTAGCACCATAGTAAGTCTTCAGTAAGTGCTGGATATACAGAAACCACTGTTCTTCTTAAACCCCTACTTTTTGGTAGGAAAGGCCATTCCCTCCCCCCGCCCCCCCCCCCCCAGTGAAATCCCTGAGGCAGGATTAAGTAAGGATGGTGTTTAGTACCCTTCATTTATCCCCCTCAAGAATCCCTTTCATCCTGGCAACTGAGTCTATTTAATTCCCATCCTCCACCTTCCCCACCTTCCCAGCTCCGTCTGTCCAATATTTTAGTTCCATCCCTGACTCCAGGCAGATGGTTTTAAGGAGTCTGAGGACATGTGCTCATTGATCTGGTGTGGTCGGCTTTTGCATCTGGTCTCATTCTGAGCGGACGGCTCAGCTTTTCTGTGGCTGAGTCCTGACATGTGTGCCTCTTCATCATTGATATATATTTTCTTCCCAGCATTTTATTTCCTGCGTGGATTTCTGCCTCTGAACTCAAGTTCTCTCCATATTCTCTCTCAAGTTTGAATCATCAAAAACTCGCCGCCTGCTAACCACCTCCACTCCCGACCCCGCACTGAATGCCTGTCATTCAGCTGGAAGCTGATTGCCTCTCCTGCCTTGTCCCAGATTACACCACTTGGCACTTGTGCTGGTAGTTCTTTGTGCCTCTCGGCCTGGGCCGGACAAGGCTTCAGCTTCACTTTGCAAGATGTCATCCCTCTTAGCTCAGCTCCATTTTTGCGGCTCCCAGACTTTGCTGTCTCTTGCAATGTACATGCCGGGCAGTGACTCTGACCCTTTCTCGGTCTGACATATCCCACTGTGGTCAGAGGCCTGGATCTGTTACTAGGACCTGAGCTACTGGCTATAGACCCCGGTGTTACAGAAAGGCATACCCTGATATATCTTGGAAATTGGTCCAAGATGTAAATTGTGATGTAAGGAGCAAATTATTCAGGTCTTTGGCAAGAAACAGATGGCGTATTCAAGATGGATAACTGAGGAGAGATTAATAAATGGACTATTTAAGTGTGGGGGTAGGGTTTGTAAAAAGCAATAAAGCATAGTGCAGAACTGCTGGGTTAATCCCAGGAGAGAGCTATGCCACCGCTATGCCTTGGTGGAGGAAGGGGAAAAGTGGTAACCAGAACTGGGAGGGAGACAGAGTGTGCATCAGGGGGAGAGGGCTACTTGGCAAGGCCTGGGGCCTTCAACTGAGGCAGGCAGCCCACCCAAAGCCACCATGCTGGGAAGCAGTCAATAAAATAAATACCTTTATATCATTCTCCCCTTCCCTCTGACCTGCTGATATTCCCATTGGCCGAACCCACCTAGAAGCCTGAGAGCAAGGAAGCTCATTGATCCAGTTCACACAGGTTACCCAGAGTTGTGAGGACAGTGGGACCTGGAGAGGCAAACAGAAAAAAGGGGTCACCAAGCTATGCATGATATCTGGCCGTGTATGGCTGTGTTCTTTGTGCACATGGAGCCCAATTATGTCATTGTAGTGTTAAGGACATTCTACACCTTCTCAGTGACCTTATGGTTTACACTGTCTATGACCACTGACTACAATTCAGGCAGAGTTGTATGAGGTTATAGATCCAGGACTTTCACGATAATGGCAATGCTGTTTTGAACCTATATTTTTTTGTGATGGGTCACAAGAAATGACACCTTAGAAATGATGCACTGAGGACGGAAAGAGAATCTATTGTTTTATTTATGATTATTAAGTAAATTCCATGGGCTGAGTCACAGTACTCCAAAAAAAAAAAAAGCTCATTTCTTCAACCTCCATAATTCATAATTTTATGCTCTTGTAGAAGTATAAAATCTCTATTAATAAATTCTGGGATGTGCTTCTTGAAAAAGAATCAAATGGGTCCAAAAAAATCTAGGATGTCAAGATAGGCAAAAGGAGGTTATTCACACCAATAAATGTTTCTCACCTCTCAAAGTGATTGAGTATATGTTCCTTTAAAGTAGCAGAATCACAACAATTGAACATGAAATATGATGTGATTTACCAGACTGTAATTTTCAACGATGCACCTTGAGTAAAGAAAAGTAAATTAATATTAATAATACTTGTACTAGAGGTGCCTGGGTGTCTCAGTCAGTTAACATACAACTCTTGATTTTGGCTCAGATCAGGATCTCATGGTTGGTGAGATCAAGCCTCAAGTCATCGAGCCTGCTTGGGATTCTCTTTCTTCCTCTCTCTCTTCCCCTCCCCTGCTTTGTCTCTGTCTCTGTCTCTGTGTCTCTTTCAAAATAAATAAACAATAAAAATAATAATACTTGTAATAGTAAGTAATATTTAGAATTAGCAATAACTTCATCGATTCTGTGGTTGGAAGGGTCCTTGAGGATATGTGGTACATCTACTCAGCTAACTCCTGAATCCTCTCTTCTGTACCCTCCTAAAGGGTTATACAAGGTTTTACAACCACCTTGGTCTATGTAGAAGTCCACTGACATTATTTCCTCAACCAACAACAGTTGTCATGGTTCAGATAAACATAATATTAATCTATCATAATAATGTGGCTAATTGCATTATAACTGTCTATTATTGAAACAGAAATTTACTAGTGGTTTGAAAATAATCAATCAGATTTGAACTGAGCCCTCATCTGCATCAAATCGTTCTAACCGGGGGCAAATGACAGGGTCGAGATGAAATTAAGATAAATTCTGAAAGAGACCTAGAGAGAGGGAGGGGCCTAACATCTCCTTGTGGATAGGCAGGGACCTGGATACTTGGATGCCCATTGTACAGATGCCATGAGAGGCCCCCTAAGGGTGAGTATGATGCTCAAGGTTGTAGAGTTGCTGAGTTGGAACTTGAACTCAGAGTGCCCTTCTCTAAGTCAGGATTCTAAAGGGACTGTGAAGAGAATGTGAAGAGAGAATCTTCCCCTGGCTGGGTTGGGAGTGTACTTTGCAGAGTGTCCTTCAGCTACTTGGAGTTAATATGAGGGCTCTACTTAATACAGGGAAAATGGAAGCGATCATTGCTCAACATTGGTCTGGTGGGGAAAGTGGGTGATGGGCATTGAGGAGGGCACCTGTTGGGATGAGCACTGGGTGTTGTATGGAAACCAATTTGACATTAAATTATATATAAAAAATAAGTAAAATCTGTGACCTGATATGGGGGAAAGAAAAAAACAACACATGTCAGACTGGGTTTAAGGGACGGCCAGGGTTCATTCTCATTTCAAGGGAAGGAAAGAAAAGACCTTTATATGCACCTATAAATCCTGCCTTTTACAATTGCCTAATGGAATGAAGAAGTTAAAAGTAGCTGATGCCATTTTCTTACTGGATACAATTAGCTGATCAAATATGTCATCTTGCAGATTCAGCTGATTGAATTGAAGCTAGCATCCTGTTTAGCGAAATAAAATTGTGGTGAATGTAACTGATTCTTTTCTTCCATTTTTGTAAATATCATGGTTTTCGCCTTTTCTAGTAATTAATCCTCTCAAGCTCCCATTTTAACTTGTCAAAAGCAGGCCCAGTTTTGGAGAAGGAGCTTAGTTAGTAGATCATTTGATGATCCCCAGCAGACAAGCTGCTGCTCATCCGTGGCCTGGGCAGGGGTGCCTGGATGACTCCATTGTTTGAGCATCCAACTCTTGATTTCAGCTCAGGTCATGATCTCATGGTTTGTGGGTTCAAGCCCCACACTAGACTCTGCTTTTACAGCATAGAGTCTGCTTGGGATTCTCTCTCCCTCTCTCTCTGGTCCTCCCTTGCTCTCTCTGTTTCTTTCTGTCTCTCAGAAAAAAAAAACAAAAAACAAAAAACTGCTAGGGCAGATTACTTGACTGCCCTCTGCCCTCTAGAATCTCCAGTGTTCTGTGGAACACATCCAAGAATCTGTATTTTTAACAAGTTCTCCAGATAATTTTGGAAGTCCTCTAGGTTTGGGGGCTAATGATCAAAGATTATGTTTCTGGAGACTTGCAATTCTAAGTATAATTTTCTCCCTAGCCTTTAACAGTCCTCTGAAAAAATGTAAAAATCCTGGCTAAGTTAATACTGAAGGCTTTTCATCTTGTAGGGGTGAGCTGTGGGGCTGGGGAGGTGAGGCAGCTGAGAGAGAGTGGGGGTAGGAGGCAGAGGACGATGGTGGTGGTAAGGCCTGAGGAATGAAGACTCAGGAATCAAAGGGTCTGGAGTGGGGGTGGGTGGGGGAGAATAAAAGAGAGACTTGGTCTGTTGGACAAACGTGTTCGGGGCCAGCTCTGGATGAGTGAACACAGCTCATAACCTTTGCTCTCCTACTTCCTTTGAGATGAAGATGATAATAGTAAGTGGGGTAGAGGGTTGTTATGTTTTCAGAATTTATATGGTATTGTGGTTTTTATCCTCTTCTCAACCCAAGAAACCACACGAAATTGAGCAGTTACGTAAACTAACCAGTGGGTCTGAGTACTGAACACAGTTTTAGAATTTATTAGATGTGAAAATATCTGACTTCGCCGTGAGGGGGCCACTTCGGCAAGTAGATGGTGGAAAGCTGAATGTTCCGGTTTGTTAGTCCTGTATTTTTCTTAAGGCTGAAGAAAGTAAATACACAATAATTGAGCATCTTCTGCGGACCTACGGGGAGTAGAGTCCTTACGTGATGTGTGGTGGGAGAAGTGGAGTCCTGGGTTCCTATGGAACTCCTCAGTGCCACCCGGGCTGGGGCTGTGAAGATGAATGTCGCCCCAGCACTGCCCATCCACCTGTGTGTGGCCAACAGCCCCAAAGCCCAACAACGAGCACTTCAGTCAATTGAAAAATATTGTCGTTTGAAAAGAACTACTGGTACTTCTTGCTCAAGAATTAGAAAGAAAAAGGACCCCATTTTCATAAGTAGTTCAGCAATTTTTAGGTTGTCTGAGATTTTCTCCACAAGCTTTAAGGCATTAGCTTCTCCTTGAATCGTGCCTTTTCCCTTTTTCTTAAGACTATGACATGTTAAACTGTGATTTACTCATCTCTGTAATTAGATGCAGTGATTAGAATCCTCTTTATCTTACTCTGCAGTTTTCCTTTATGGGGAATTATGAAAGAATAATAGGTAAAAAGTTCAGAATGGGGGAAAGAATAAACAGAATGCTGAATGGTAAAAGGAGACAGAATGCTGAATGGATAATAAAATATTTAGTGCTTTTCAATTAACTGTTCTCACGATTAGTACACTAGTATATTATATCATAAAAATCATGTCTATTAATTTTTTGCAGCCATTATCTTGACTGTGATTTACTCCCCTCAAATCATTAACAATGCCATTAAAAAGGTGGATGGAGATGAACGTCCTGGATAGAGTTCAGGGATGTAATGGGATTATTGTTCAGGGTCATGGAGAGATTGAAGACCAGCGAATAGAAGGAAGGGGGTCAGAGAGTGTGGAGTTGGTGAGGGGAGAGAGTAGAGGAAGAAGGTGCAGAGCCCCAGGGTTTGAGAGACAGCCACCCACGTGGTGCCAGAGTTGGGGAGGAGTGCCTTAGATGAGGCAATGTTGTCATCACCCCTGGAAGATGCAGGCTGAGGGAGCCCAGTGACTGGGAGAGCATGGGCTTTCCTTCCTGTGGAATTTCACACGCACAGAGAGGAGAAGATAAATATGTGTGTGTACAAGAGTCCCCAGGGTCCCATCGGAGGCAATGGAGCGTTCTTGTTCCAGGTTATGCTGGTGGTTTGAGAGCAGCATTTCCATCCAGCCAAAGAAAGGGCCATGACTCTTCATAAATAGTTCTCTTCTTGGGAAAATGAGATAAGCTGTAGAATCAGAAAAGTGTTAGTCAAGTAGACCAGGGAAGACTGAGGCTCTGTGGACTTGTACTACAGCTGTGCATTTTGAGAAGTTTGCTCGTGGGAACACCTGTCCATTGTTTTCTTTACCTGCCTGGGTGTCTACCTTCAAGTAATCAGTTAATCAATATTCAGTTTATCAGTCTGTTCTTGGTTCTGCATCTTTAGAGTCTTCAAATATCTTTTGGCTATATTTAAAGATAGGAATTTTATTGCTATAAAATACAATATTTGCAAGATTTTATTCTTTTTTAGTTCACACCCCCTCCTGCCCTCCCCCCCCCCCCAACTTATCACTAGCACCTGGGACAATCACAAGGCCTTTGTGAATATAGAATCTATTTTAATTCAGGGTCTGAAATTCTAATTTTCTATCTGGGCTTCTTGGAGTGTACATTGGAGATGGGCCAGAGTCTCCTTTATATTTATATCGTGTGAGTCAGTGGTAGAGGCCAGAGTCAGAAGCCTCTGGTTTTTAAATTTTAAATGTTTTTTTTCGAAGTGGTTTGGCCACAAGACATGTCCTCCTAAAGCAAGTTAATCTGTCATAGTCAATCAGACAGCATTTTTAGTAGCTTAGTAGTATACTTATGAGTTAATATCATTTAGAAGTTGTTCATTATAACTAGGAAACAACATTTCTCTAACAGCCATGGAAGGTAGTATAGCTGGTCATGGTCTGATCTTGAAAGATGTCACTGAAACCTCACGAAATCTTGAAAACAAAGTTTAATAACAATATTTTATTATGTATATATATATTAATGTTTATTTTTTGAGAGAGCGCAACTGGAGGAGGGGCAGAGAGGGGGGGATAGAGGATCTGAAGTGGGCTCCACATGGACAGGCTGACAGCAGCCAGCCAGATGTGGGGCTCAAACTCATGAATCGTGAGATTATGACCCAAGCCGAAGTCAGATGCTCAACCTACTGAGCACCGGGTGCCCCGATTATAACAGTTTAGATCCCAGAGTTCAGGTGTCACATTTTTTTAGATTACTGTCTTCTTAATTCCCATTATGAGATTTTATGTATAAATATATAATAATTTGTTATATATTTAAATGTATAATTTATATTTTATGATAGATAAAATTATATCATAAACAATATATATTTCGTAGATATTATAGATAAATAATATTTAATAAATTATATTTATGTGTATGTATATGAGTAGGATATATTATCCACTCTGTGTGTGTATGTATATATATATGTATATATATTTTATATATATACATATATATATTTTTTATATATACATACATATATAAAAAAGCTCATAGTGAAAACCTGTGTGTCAGATTTCTAGATATATAAGCCTTAGTGAGACCTAGCACCTTTTTACTAGAACTAGGCACTCTGGAATCATCTCTATCACCTCCTCCCCTGTTCTCTGCTCCCTCCTCTTTTTTTTCTTTTTTTTTCTTCTCTTTTCTCCTTCCCCCTCTGCTTCCTGCTTCTTTTTTTCTCTGGTGCAATTAAAACAAATCTCAAGAGCTAACTCTGCACCTCAGAGCTTCCCTGGCATTACTGAATGGTGCGTGGCCAGCTCAAAAATCTAACGCATCATTCCAACTAGTGTAACTTCCCAAACATGCAGCTACATGCTCCAAAGCAATGCTTAGCTGTTGTTAGCGTGCTGCCTTTGAACATTAAATATGCCAAATCCATGGTGTCTGTAGCTGTGAGGACGTGCCCAGAGATGCTACCAGTAGTCTGCTGTGATAAGCAGTCTTATTATATACTCTTGGCCCATAATGGTGACAGGTGACATTTTGCCTAAACAGTGTCAGGGGTAATCCATCACTGGTTACCCCTAATCACTATCTGCCTTTCTATGGGGATCATGTCCTTTCAATACCATTCAGAACGTGCCTTAGCTAATGTAATTTCTGGCTCTGAGATATATCAGGGGAGACAAAGTCTAGATCACTCACCATAGGAAACCAGAGGAGCGTATTTTGCATTAGCAAAACGTGGATGCTTACATAGATGTCACCTAACATAGGTCTCCAGTGTGGTCCCATTTACATGTCTACTATAATTGCTCTATGTTCTCATATTCTCAGCTTTAAAATCATCAATAAAAAATGAATTAAATAACACTGTTTTCTTTTAGCCCAGGGTGCACTGCCCAAATCACCCCTTAGAACAAACACTGCCCTTCACCCCGCTGTCCAGACTTTTGACCCCTGACCCATCACAGACAAGTCCCTCAACAGGAATTGCCCTTGACTGAAGGCAGTTTCCTTACTGAGGTTTGTCCCCAACTCTGGAGGTGGGGAGGGTGAGGGAAGCTCACATTCAACGATGGGTGGCTAGAGAGGGTTCAAAGGTCTGGCCCCCTCACCTCCACTGGGACGACTCTATAAGTTTATCCCAGTCACAGAGCTTCCTATAGGATCAGCTGATGCCCTGTGTGTCTTGAGGCTGCACTTGCAAAGCAAGCACACACTAATACTATTTGTTGGGGTCACGTGGCAGGAGGCTTATGGAAATTACAGAGGACCCCTCAGCCCTGAGCCATCTTTGAAATGGCCATGCTTGTGATATGGGAAGATATTATTTTTATAGAAATTGGGAACTGAACCAAGTTTCTTATTACCACAGCATCTGCAGGTTGTTCTTTATCGGAAGCCACCAGTCCCTTCCCAACCACCTGAAAACACTTATCTGAGGCTATTTTCATGGCGTAACTGGTCCTGGTGGTAGAGTTAGTGCTACCATTTCTACCGTCATTACCATCCTGTTCTTCCACCCCAGGGGGACGGAGCCCCAGAGTAACTGAAATGGGCCTTTCTCTGAGAGGTTGGTGATTTCTTCAGCAGCCTGCCTGGCATGTGACATGGGAGCTTTCAGCATGGCGAGGAAGGGGAGAGGAGGGGCTGGAGGTGGCAGGTACAGATAGGTAGTCTGCCAGGAGCGGAGTTCAGAGATTTAGATCTTAGCCCGGCATTGCTGCGTGGGCCTTGGCAAGCACTCCTCATTTTATCACACAGCACTCTACCTCCGTTTCTATAACCTCCTGCAGCCTTCCTCCCAAGCAGCGTGGGAAGACAAAAACAGCTGTGCACGTTAGCAGCTTCAGCTGTTCCCACAGCAGCGCTACGCTGCAATATCCCAGGGGTCATCAAATATTTAGGAGGATGTTGCAGACCTTTGTATCATGGCCAGAAATGCCATGTGCTCAGGTCTGGATTCCACTGGGTTCTTGTTCGCGTTAGCAGAAACTCGTGATGAAAAGGAAATGGCTCTTTTACCAAATTGTACCGCACTATAAGATCAACTGTGTCTTCATGCTCACCAGATACAGCTACAGCTTTTAAGTTTCTTGTTAGAGAAAATAACTAAGCGAGAACAATACTGGAATCAGAGTCTGTCCCAGATGCAAAACACTTTAGAATATTTATTTCTCATTATAATCTATTCATTAAATGTCATAGCCTGGCCCTCTGGGGAGAGTCACATACTACAACCCGTACTGGAGATGAGGTTGTGTATTTAAAGTCGGCCTTGGCTGATAAATGTGGAAAACTACAAGCTGCCTGAAAATTCCCTGGTGATGGTTGATGCTGGAGAATGCAGCTGGGGATGCTGAGAAGTATGTGCTATTACAGCAAAGTGTGGTCTAAATTTCCACTAAATATTTCCTTTCAGATGTGTGACTTCTTTGGGGGAGAGATATATAGCTCTTGTAATCAGGGACTAGAATACCCACTTTGGTAAAATTTGTTCTCAATTTAAAGTTGTTTTCTTTTTTTCTTAACACAGCTAAAATGCCTTTAGAGTTTTGTCTTTTTCTGGATGACTGCAAAGCCAATTTTTAGAGACCTGCATTGTAGCTTAATATTATGTCATTGGTTCAGTGTCAGCCAATGGGAAGATTAAGTGGATTTCCATATCCATAACGGCCATCTTCAGTCCAGTTCTAGTCAACATTTCCTTAATGACTGGAATGATGGAATAGGAATCTGTTCATTAATTTTGCCAATAAAAACAACTGGTGGGTGGCTTGTGTTTTAGACAGCCAGTCTTGAACTGTATTAAACAAAGAAGAAATGGATGATTAAAAACCATAGAAGTTTAGAGAGTGGTTACCAGGTAGTATTAGGGAGAACCACTAAATTGCATAGCACAAAAGGGTACCTAGTTCCTGGGACATAGGCATTGTAGGCAATGACTTGAAGGCCATAACGGACCCCAAACCATAGCAAATGGAAAATCAAGATGTATATCTTGAAATAACCAAGTTAGCGTCTACAATTCCAACACTGGGTCTTTTGACTGCTTCCTGGTTATGAAACATTTACTCTGCACTGGAGGTGGTGAAAATGGATCCCTTTGCAATTTTGATGAAGGCTGGTGTTGACTTTACAAAATCCAGATTGCAAAAAGCCCTGGAGTAATGGTTTCAGTGGGAAGAAAGGACCTAACTAGATATACGGATTTAGAGTAGAAAGCTGTCAACGCTCTCAATTGAGTCAAAAGATTCAGTTCCTGGCTCAGATTTGATTTAACTGGCTAAGTGACCTTGAACAAGTCCCCAAACATCTTGGGTCCTCTATTTCTTAGCCTAGAAATGAGGAGTTGCATTAGTACAGAGATTCTCAATCTGTGGTCCTTAGAGAGTAACGGGAGACTGAACCATTTTCAGTGCTTAGAAAACCTAAAGAAATAGTCTATTTCCTAATAAGGAGGCCATATAGACTATTATTTAATTAACCCTGATGATAGATGAAAACTTTTGAAACATGAGTACACATAGGAAAAATAATAAAAGTCTTTTTCTTGGTAATCAAAAGGCAGGAAGCATTTCAGTCTCTAAACTAAGGCTTATGATGACCCTGGTTCCCAACAGAACTGAGAAACCCTGAAGACACTGCATTTGTATTGCATGAAGAGGGAGCCAGGGAAACATCTCTCGGGGGCAGGCTGGCTTTGGGTGCAAGATTAGAAGGAAGGCAGGGGGTATCACTAATACTAGCTATGTGACAGCCACTTATCTAAATGCATTATTTCATTTAATCCTCAAAACCAGGTACTGTTAATATCCCACCTTGAAGATGAGGAATCTGAAGCACAAAGGTAACACTTACTAAACTCTTTAAATGGTAGTTATTATTACTAACCATCTGGATTGTTCCCAGTGGCCATTAATCCCACAGAAATGAGAGGGGCTGGATAAAGAGAAGAAAAAAAAGGCTTCTCATCTTCAGGCTTCTTCAAGGAGAAAATTTATGGTCTCTGGACTAGAGGACCTATGTTCCAGGTAAGCCTCTATGTGATCTTGGGTGAGTCATTTTACCTTTCTGAATCATAATTTCACACCATACTGCAAGATTATTGGGAAGACATAGAATAATGCATCTGCAGGTGCTTTTGGAACCTAGGAGGTGATACACACGTGGGAGAATGAGGGATACCTGCCTCAGTGGAACTGCTCCCCAGTAGCATCAGTCATTCACTTAACAAACATTCATGGTATGCTCATTATGTGAAAGTAGAAGATTAGGTAACCCTTATCTCCTGTGTTGAGATGAAAAAGTGGTTAGTGGTTCTGTAGCTCTATTCCTTGCTCAGGTATTCTTGCTATAAAATAATATCTTTAGATAGCCATGTGTACCAAATTTGCAGTAACCCAGTGTCCTGCCATTAGTTCATGGTCTTAGTTGGTGAGTGTCAACATTTCCTTGCTTCTACCCCATTACCTCCCAATGATGTGTGTTGTCATTGCTGCTTAGTGTTCAGCATCAATTTGTGACCTGCGGCCGATTTTATTCCATTCTTAGAGCTTATCATTCCCCTCCAGAAAATGAGATCAAATACTTCACATGACCGAGATCAAGACCAGTGAAAAGGTTTTGATGTCTCCCCGGGAGGTGGGATGGGCAGAGTCATTTGTCTATGCAGTTTCCTGTTCGTGCACAACCACCAGACAGGTGCGGAGAGGCATGCATTCATCTTGATAGGTGGATGTTGTTTCTGGTTGTGTGATAAGAGTGGATAGGATGGGAAGGCAAACCGTTCTCAGCCTTACACATGGAGAACATGGTCTGGTTTCAAATGAAATGCCCTCAGCTTTCTGCTGTGATAAATTATATCCATATAATGTCACCATCTCTCAGGTCATAGGTGATAAACTAATTAATGCTGTCTCAGTGGTGGAAACTCTATATTGAGCTCGGAATCCAGAAGTCTCTTGCTGGAAATAGAAAACCTTGTTAAGGGCTCTTTTTCTACAGTAGGCCGTGGATAGCTGGTATGTCATGCCAGACTGGCATGTCCAAGATCGGCTGGAGAGCGGGCTCTGGAGATGCTGGGATGTGATCATTCAGGGACAAAAAGGTTTAGTTTTAAAAAGGAGAACTCAGAGTGCCTGGGTGGCCCAGTCGGTTAACCATCCGACTCTTGATTTCGGCTAAGGTCTTGATCTCACGGTTCTTGGGTTCAAGCCCCACATAGGGCTCTGTGCTGACAGAGTGGAGCCTGCTTGGGATTCTCTGTCTCTCCCTCTCTCTCTCTACCCCTCCCCTGCTCATTTTCTCTCTCTCTCTCTCAAAATAAATAAATAAACTTAAAAAAATATAAAAAGGAGAACTGAAAATAGAGACCACAAAGATCCAGTGACTTTGAACATAAGTGCCTTTAAATTGAATGTAAATGTTAAAAGAAAATACAAATAAATATTCACCATTGAGTGGTTTACAAAGAGTGAACTCTTAACTGGGTGGGTTGAGAGGGAGCTGAGAACACACAACGTGAGTATTTTTGTATTTTAACCTTTATGTTCATGATAGCATCTTGTGATTTTCTTTTAAATATATATTTTATTGCAGATCTTAAGTACTTAGCTTACTTACTAAGTACTTAATTAGAAGTATTTCTTTTATTTTTTTGCATTTTTTATTGAAGTGTGGTTGATACATGTTGTTATATCGGTTTCAGGCGTGCAATATAGTGATTTCACAATTATGTAATTACAAAATACTCACCACGATAAGTATAGTTGCCATTGTCACCATACAGTGTTATTACAATATTATTGATTATATTCTCCATGCTGTACTTTTCATTTTTGTGACGTATTTATTTGTAACTGGAAGTTTGTACCCCTTGATCCCCTTCACCTATTTTGCCTATCCTACCATCCTCCTGCCCTCTGGCAACCACCAGTTTGTTCTCTGTATGTATGAATCTATCCCTGTTTGTTTGTTTGTTTAGTTGTTTTTTAGAATCCACGTATAAGTGGAATCATATGGTAGTTGTCTTCTTCTTTCTGACTTACTTTAATTGACATAATACCCTCTAGGTCCACCCATGTTGTTACAAATGACAAGACTTCATTTCTTTTTTATGGCTAAGTAGTAATACTCCACTATGCATATATATCACATCTTCTTTATCCCTTCATTTATCCGTGGACACTTAGGTTGCTTTCATATCTTGGTTATAGCAAATAATGCTAACACTTATCTTTTCAAATTAGCGTTTTTGTTTTCTTTGGGTAAAAACCTCATAGTAGGGTTATAGGATGATATGGCATTTCTATTTTTAATTTTTTGAGGAAACTCCATACTGTTTTCCACAATGGCTGCCCCAATTTACGTTCCCACCAACAGCGCATAGGGTTCATTTTTCTACATCCTTGCCAATATTTGTTATCTTCTGATTTTTTGATAATAGCAAAAATACTGCTATTGCCTGTCAATATCCATGGAACTTAGAGAAACATTCTATTCTCTACTCCTTTCAATATCCATAGCATCGTGTATGTGTCCTATTATGAAACTTTAAAATTTTGTAATTATTTCCATGGTTGTCATATTTCTTAGTGGAGAATGTATCTTTTAAAAAGGTTTTTTTTAATGTTTATTTATGTTAGAGAGAGAACGAGAGGGAGAGGGAGAGCACCAGAGAGAGAGGGAGACAGAATCCGAAGCAGGCTCTAGGCTCTGAGCTGTTAGCACAGAGCTCGAGGCAGGGCTTGAACTCAAGAACTGTGAGATCATGACCCCCACTGAGCTGCCCAGGGGCCGCTAGTGGAGAATGTATCTTTTTTTTTTTTTTTATATATGAAATTTATTGTCAAATGGGTTTCCATACAACACCCAGTGCTCATCCCAAAAGGTGCCCTCCTCAATACCCATCACCCACCCTCTCCTCCCTCCCACCCCCCATCAACCCTCAGTTTGCTCTCAGTTCTCAACAGTCTCTTATGCTTTGGCTCTCTCCCACTCTAACCTCTTTTTTTTTTTTTTTTCCCTTCCCCTCCCCCATGGGTTCCTGTTGAGTTTCTCAGGATCCACATAAGAGTGAAACCATATGGTATCTGTCTTTCTCTGTATGGCTTATTTCACTTAGCATCACACTCTCCAGTTCCATCCACGTTGCTACAAAAGGCCATATTTCATTTTTTCTCATTGCCACGTAGTATTCCATAGTGTATATAAACCACAATTTCTTTATCCATTCATCAGTTGATGGACATTTAGGCTCTTTCCATGATTTGGCTATTGTTGAGAGTGCTGCTATGAACATTGGGGTACAAGTGCCCCTATGCATCAGTACTCCTGTGTCCCTTGGATAAATTCCTAGCAGTGCTATTGCTGGGTCATAGGGTAGGTCTATTTTTAATTTTCTGAGGAACCTCCACACTGCTTTCCAGAGCGGCTGCACCAATTTGCATTCCCACCAACAGTGCAAGAGGGTTCCTGTTTTAGTGGAGAATGTATCTTAATGCACGTGTAAGAGTTTTGGATCTATATGAGAGACCCAATTTTGCATTATGGTTCTGACAAGACGCAGGACCTTGGGCAACTCACTTTACCTTTCCCCAAGCCTCTGTCTCTTCTGATAAAAAGTGGGTAATAATATGTATATCCAACTCTTGAGAAATAATATAGTATCTGTAAAAGCACCTGGCACAGAGGCCAAAAGATATTGTTTCTTTTTTACATCTATTTTTCTTAGCTTCTTAAGTTGTAGAACCAAGTTTTGTGTTTCCTGTAATTCATCATAGAATATTTATTGGGTACTCAAAAATACTATTAAATGAGAGAATCTATTCTATGTTAATACCAAAGACATAAAAATGTCACTTTCTTGCCTTTTTAACTTACCTTTATTCTGGGGCAGTTGATTATTTTCCCTTGATAATTCTGTTTTACAACTTATATCTCTCTTCTGCACAAAGTAACATTTGATAGGTACTGCTACAGGGAGGATTAGTTGCTCGTCCAATTATGAATCTCATTTAAGTTTATACTGCCTTGTTACTTTGGCTCAAGCCAATTCCAAATCTGTAGAGAAAGAGTAATGCTATATATATACATCCTTTAGCAAAATTGCTCTTTATGACAATTATATTCTTGATGGGAAGATAGGCAAAAATATATGCCCAATGAATGACTAAGTTTATGCAGTAAGTTCCTGTGAGAGCCCTGTTCCATTTTCCCAGGCTTCGTTGTTCTCGGTAACCATTGTCTCTTGCCATTAACAATCTCTTTAAATGATGTATGGGGGCTGGGGAAAAAAAGGAATAGGGCATGAAAATATCCTGAAGAATTTTTCAGAAAGAGGCTAACAGGCCAAGAACCTTGGCATTAGTTTGGCTCTTAAAGGTCTAAAGAAGAGATGCACATCAGCAAACATCATGGGTGAGAAATTAATCATAAGGCTATGTGGGAGGGCTGAGCAGCTCCAGGAACCCTCTGGGCACTATACAGTTGCTTCGTATCCCAGTGGTAATGTCACCGGAGTTCAGCAGGACTTTCCCTAGTCTTGGGAACCTGCTTCCTTCTCAATCATCTGACATTTATCCTGCCTAAGAAGTGGGCTCTGATTGGATATGTTTGCCATTATACTACAGCTTTCCTGGAGGGCACAGTTTTCTAGAAGTTGTCCGGAGTTGTTTGGTGTCTCCAGTGTCTGCCATATTCTCTGACTTGAGAATAATCACTTTGGAAATGGGAATAGGGATTTGGGAGCCTTGTAGGTGGTTGGAGCCATGAAAAGGGAATAGTATGAACAGAGGCAAAAATTGCTGCATGGAGCATGTTTGGGGGGACATCAAACAGTTCATGTTGGTTAGTGAAATGTTTCTCAGTTAGGGGTCTGTGAACTTCTAAGAGGCCATGAAAGTGTTGTTAGGGCAGCTGTGAGTTCTCTTTATGCATTAATATAACTTTAGTTTAATTGCAATAATAGCCCTAAAATAATGAACACAAGCATGTATTTGACCAGCGATGTGGCCACCTTATATATAATCTGCACTGAGCAGTGTATACCGTATTCATGGTGGTGTGAGTTTAATTAGAACATCATGATTGAACACACAAAATTGATGTTATTTGAATTTTATTGGTTTTGTAAGATTATTTGTATTTAATTCATAAATAATTTTTGGTTTGTAGTGGTTTAAAAGCTAAGAGAATGGGGTGCCTGGGTTGCTCAGTGGGTTGAGCATCCAACTTCAGCTCAGGTCATGATCTCATGGTTTGTGAGTTTGAGCCCTGTATTGGGCTTGCAGCTGTCAGTGCGGAACCTGCTTCAGATCCTCTCTCTCTCTCTCTCTCTCTCTCTCTGCACCTCTCCCACTCATACACTCTCTCTCTCACACACACACACACAAAAACATTAAAAAACTTAATTTAAAGAAGTAAAATCTATGAGCATAAGGAGGTTTTTTATTTTTATTTCTTACTAAGTTTTTGTTCACATTTGATAACATTGTAATGAAATGATTTAATTCAACACTGGGCACCTGAAAGAGTATATTAAATGGGGCCCATGTTCATTAAGAGTGCACTTATCATGATGAGGTGATGGATGTATGGAATTGTTGAATATAGTACAATATAGTGATATTGTACACCTGAAACTAACACTGTATGTTCAGTATACTGGAATTTTAAAAAAGGGTCTATATTTTACTCATATTTGAGAAACAATTGGCTAGAGTAGGAGTTGGCAAACTCTGTGAAGAGTCAGATAGTAAATATTTTAGGATTTGCAGACCAAGAGGCAGAACTGAGGGCATTATATTGGTGCTTATATAATAACAAAGCAAATTTCCAGATTAAAAAAATTTTTTAATTAAACAAAATTTAAGTTTATTTATTTGGAGACAGAGAGAATGAGAGAGCACGAGTGGGGTAGGGGCAGAGAGAGAGAGAGAGAGAGAGGGAGAATTCCAAGCTGGCTCCACACTGTCGGTGCAGAGCCAATGTGAGGCTCAAACTCATGAACCATGAGATCATGACCTGAGCTGAAATCAAGAGTTGGATGCTTAACCTACTGAGCCACCCTCATGCCCCTCCACAGGTTTTTTTTTTTTATTGATGAAATACAAACACCAATGCTGTTGCTACTGCTGCTAATAATGATGATAATAATATCTGAATACATTTTTTTTTTTTTTTTTTTTTTTGTAATACAGGCCTACTAATGAAAAGAATGAAATTTCTCTTTTGGGGAGGATAACATCTCATTTAATTGGGGTCCAAAGTTAGTGTTCCCTGTCATCAAATAGATAATAAACATTCATCTGTAAAAACAATTGTGAGCTTGCATGTTGTACAGAAACAGCCAGCAGGCCAGATTTGACCTATGGGCCAAGTTTATTGACATCTGAGTAAAGTATAAGGTATGTGTTGTGGGTGGAGAAATTTAGTCAACCTCTCCACACTTATTTTGTCTTCTGGAAGCTCTTCTATAAACTGGGGGCATTAAAAGTAGCAACCTTTATGGGATATTGTAAAGATTACATGTGATAATTCATAAGAAGTACCTTGATCCCTGTCTTATCATCATCCTTACATTTCAGGGAATATTTTATACTTACTTTGGAAAGTAATATAGGTCACTGGAGGATTTTGAACAGGAAATAAGCAACACTGGAGCTGCACTTTGGAAGAGTCATCTGGCAACAGCATGAGGGATGGATCAAGGCTGGGGCAGGAGGACAGTGAGGAGGCAGCTAAAATAGCTCTCAATCCTATCATGGCTTCTTGATACTTTTATCCATGTCGGTTTTATCTACCCCAAGTGAGGGGCTGTGGGGGGAAGAAACTAATTGTGGTAGACAGAGTAATGGTTCCAAAGATGCCCTTACGGTAATCTATGAAACCTGTGAATATGTTACCTTACATGGAAAAAGAGACTTTACTGATGTGATTAAAGTTAAGTACCTTGAGATGGGGAGAATGTCCTGGATTATTAGGCCCAGTCTAATCACATGAGTCCTTAAAATCAGAGATACTTTCCCTGCTGTAGAAAGCCAGAAGTAGCATTGTGAGAAAGTCTTGGCCCACCATTGCTGGCTTTGAAGATGGAGGAAGGGGACCATGAGCCAAGGAAGGTAAGCAGCTTCTAGATGCCAGAAAAGGCAAGGAAATGCATTTTCCCTAAGAGCTCCCTGGAAAGGAATATAGTCCTGCCAATACCTTGATGTTAACCCTGTGGGATTTGTGTTGGATATCTGAACTATAGAACTATAAGATAATAAATAATGTTGTTTAAGCCACTGACTTTGTGGTAAGTTGTTATGGCAGCAACAGAAAACTAACACACCGATACTATCCAGTTACACGTGATAATAAGAAAGTACAATGAAAGACAATTCCAGATAAGTCTAAATATTTTAATATAATTTATTGTCAAATTGGCTTACATAAAACACCCAGTGCTCATCCCAGCAAGTGCCCTCCTCAATGCCTATCACCCATTTTCCCCTCTCCCCCTCTCCCCCACTCCCCCATCCACCCTCAGTTTGTTCTCTGTATTTAAGAGTCTCTTGTGGTTTGCCTCCCTCCCTCTCTGTTTGTAATTATTTATTTCCTCTTCCCTTCCCCCATGGTCTTCTGTTAAGTTTCTCAAGACCCACATATGAGTGAAAACACATGATATCTGTCCTTCTCTGACTGACTCAAATAAGTCTAAATATTATGTTGCATTCCAAGCACTTTCCTTTTTTTGGAACATAAAGATTATTGTTTTTATGAAGATAGTTTTTCTTGACCCCAATGAATAAATGACAAACCAATATTTAAGAATATTTGTTTGAAAGGCACCAAATATTGGCATATATGAGATCTCAGCTTGGAAACATGTGGAGGTCTACCTAAGTTTGATTCAATAAATTCTACCAGTACTTCATGAGTACTTTATTCCAGGTGGGGCTTTCAAAAATGGTTATTTTATAGTCCCTGCTAACAAACTAGTGATCCATGAATGAATATGAGTAAGGATATGAACCAGGTATTACAAACTGAATTCCCAAATGTTCCTAGGAAGTGTGGATGGTGCTATAGCAGCTGACATTCTTGCAGATGACCCCAGTGCTTGGTCTTGAAGGATGAGCAGGAGTGATTGGAGGAGGAAAGATCTAAGGGTAGTCAAGCAGGGGTACTCAGTGCATAGTGGGATGAGTTTGCAGAGTCCTAGGCAGTCTTGGAGAGCTCTGACAATGAGCTGGCCAGCTTGGAGCTCTCTCTTTCTCCTTTAGCCGTCACAGTTCTGTGGAGTTGAGTGGAAAAGAGGAGAGATGTCTGGGCAGAAGGTCTTATTCTCTAAATCTTGCATCTTGACTTAACAAGCTGCTTGGCCTGTCCCGCACTCTTTTCTTCCCACATTGGTCCATTCGACATTTAGAAAAATTGGAAAAAAATTATTATCTGTAGAATAGCAGCAAACGTGTTTTTCCCCCTGTCCTGTAGAGAGAAGGAATATTTAATTAGTCTACCTGTGGGCCTAATAAACAACAGGGAGTTATCTCAGGAGGGGGGAGAATTGAGGATAGAGTAAACTGAATGATACTTATACATATTCCACAAACTGACTGACAGAGTTGGGCCCGAGATGGTGTGGAGGTATGTCAGCACTTGGGGGAAATGGGGAAATTAATGAGGCAGAGATGGAAGGACAGATCATCTGGATGGGGGATGGTGAGGGCCTTCGTTAACCTTGAAATTTGCTTCAGGGGAAGGCATGTCCTGGAGGTTTCTTACCCAAGACTGTGAATCCCAGACTTCGAACGGTGGAGAAATTGCTAACCATGATAACTCATTCATTGTTGCATCTCTTAGCTGAATCGGTACTCATAACTCATAAAGCTGCCTCATAGCAGTTTGCACATAAGTCAGACACATAGCTCACAAGATAGCTTCTTGTGCTTTCAGGTTTCCGCAGGGTCTGGTTGGAGTCCACCTGGTTCCTGAGCAAATCCTACTTTAGTAACAACAAAATTCGATTAATCATCATCATCGTCGTCGTCGTCATCATCATCAGTAGCAGCAGCAGCAGACACCCAACATTTCTCAAACAAAGAATAGTTTACAAATACCTTCATGTGTGGGGAACCATTTGCTCTTCTTCAACTGCCTTCTATGGCCAGGCGGGGTATGTAAGAATGTTATCAGGACACTGAGCCACTACCTGGTGTAGATCAATGCAAACTGTGATGTCGTGTTCACTATACCCTTAAATGAGACCTATACCTGAGGAATCCTTTCTCGAGATGGGCTCAGACATTATGGATATGAGAGGAAGTCTGCTGGCCTGGAGCATGAAAACAGCAAGGATTGAAATATATAAGCAGAGAGAAGAATTCTGTACGTTAGTGTTATGTTTCTGAGTTTCTCCTGGGACGAGGGTGATTCATTATATAAACAGGGATGAGATCACATGGGCCGATCAGGATCTACAATAAATCTTGAGACAACTCCAGGAAGGGTACTCTGTGGTGTTAGCAATCAAATGTAAGGAGACCACACCATCCCCTTCTTAAGTATCAATGGCAACAAAGTGAAAGCACACAGGTGTCTGATTTGTTCTTTCTAATTCGCTATGATGACTTGAGGAAGTGTGGCTGCCAAGTGCCGGCTCCTAGTGTGCATAAAGGCAGTGATTTCATGAGAACTATCAGAAGATTAAAAAATTCAAAGATGAAGGATGACAAGAAAGATGAACTGAACTAAAGTAATTAGGTAAGTATCTGTGAGTAACAGAAGCCTCAGGATGGTTGTCCTGAGTTTTTGTTGTAAAGTACTTGTCTGCAATATTTTAAGGACTTAGTAGAATTTTATTTTAAAGCCATGACATTAGCACAGTTAAGCCAATCAATGTTTTTTAATAGCCTTTTAAAGGTGCCTTTTTAATTGTGCTCTGTGGGAGGGAAAGGCACATGGAGACTGCAAAAACATCTAAAAATGGCTTAGTCAGATCTTTCAAAACTATTTGCAAGTGCAAATTTCTGGCTTGGTTTGATTGCTGTAGAAGTGGGGTTAAAGTGCGAGATCTAAAGGGCTTATTCCCCCGCGAAAAAACAAAGACTTAGCTCTTGTGTACATTCATTCAGCTTGGCCCCAGAGCAAAAATATTTAGAATCTGCACCATTTTCCCTTTAGAGATGCAAGAGAGTTGCGGTTTCTCTTAGAGGAGAAATAGCTCTACGCAGAATTTTTCCTGCCCACATTGGGGCCCAGGAGGTCCAGAGAACACTCACGTTGCTCCTTCTAGCAGTCCTCTGACCTCCTGAATGTTTGCCAGTGATCGCTTCAGTTTTTTATAGTTAGAATGTGCCTAACATCTGGATGAATAGCAAAAAGTACTGTTAACTTTCCAACTTGCTATTTGGCGCAATGCCCACGTTATTGGCAGAACCATCATAGTTCATTCCCCTTTCTTCATAGCTTAGTTTTGTGTGATGCTTTGTTGTTTAAAAAATGCTTTCATATATATTATCCTGTTGGGAGCCCATGATAGTCATGTGATACAAGGAAGCTATTATTAGTTTCTGTTTTATAAATGTAGAAACTAAAGCTTGGAAATATGGAGAGGTCTATCCAAGGTCGGTTAAACAAATTCAACCAGCATTTCATGAGTACTGTAGAATGCTTTATATATCCCAGGGGACTTTCAAAAATGATTATTTTATAGTTCCTGCAAACAAACTAGAAGCCACATATCTACCATATCTCACTTCTTCTCCAGTGCTATTTCTATGAAATTACATTGTCTCTTGCATGGCATGTGGACTTCTCTGAAGAATTTACTTAAAAAAATTTTTTTTAATTTTTTCATTTATTTTCTTGAGTTTTACTGAGATATAATTGATATACAGCATGTATAGCATACAAGTTTAGCATGTATAGCATAATGACTTGACTTACATATGTTGTGTAATGATTACATTAGCAAGATATAAAAAAAGAAAAAGAAAAAAATGGATTTTTCCTTGTGATGAGAACTCAGAATTTACTTTCTTAATAATTTTCACATATACCATATTAATAATTACATTAAATTTATTTTATTTTATTTTTTTTTCAATGTTTTTATTTATTTTTGGGACAGAGAGAGACAGAGCGTGAACGGGGGAGGGGCAGAGAGAGAGAGGGAGACACAGAATCGGAAACAGGCTCCAGGCTCTGAGCCATCAGCCCAGAGCCTGACGCGGGGCTCGAACTCACGGAGCGCGAGATCGTGACCTGGCTGAAGTCGGACGCTTAACCGACTGCACCACCCAGGCGCCCCTATTTTATTTTTTTAATTTAAATTTTTTTAAATTTCCGTCCAAGTTAGTTAGCATATAGGGCAACAATGATTTCAGAAGTAGATTCCTTAATGCCCCTACCCATTTAGCGCACCCCCTCTCCCACAACCCCTCCAGTAAACCCTCTGAACCCTCTGTTTGTTCTTCATATTTAAGAGTCTCTTATGTTTTGTCCCCATCCCTGTTTTTATATTATTTTTGCTTCCCTTCCCTTATGTTCATCTGTTTTGTATCTTAAATTCCTCATGTGAGTCAAGTCATATGATATTTGTCTTTCTCTGACTAATTTTGCTTAGCATAATACCCTCTAGTTCCACCCACATAGTTGCAAATGCAAGATTTCATTCTTTTTGATTGCCGAGTAATACTCCATTGTATATATACCACATCTTCTTTACCCATTCATCCATTGATGGACATTTGGGCTCTTTCCATACTTTGGCTATTGTTGATAGTGCTGCTATAAACATTGGGGTGCATGTGCCCCTTCGAATCAGCATTTTTGTATCCTTTAGATAAACACCTAGTAGTGCAATTGCTGGGTTGTAAAGTAGTTCTATTTTTAATTTTTTGAGGACCCTCCATACTGTTTGGAGGGAATGCAAGCTGGCTGCCCCAGTTTGCATTCCCACCAACGGTGCAAAAGGGTTCCCCTTTCTCTGCATCCTTGCCAACATCTGTTGCTTCCTGAGTTGTTAATGTTAGCCATTCTGACAGCTGTCAGGTGGTATCTCATAGTGGTTTTGATTTGTATTTCCCTGATGATGAGTGATGTTGAGCATTTTTTCATGTGTTGGATGGCCATCTGGATGTCTTCTTTGGAGAAGTGTCTATTCATGTCTTTTGCCCATTTCTTCACTGGATGATTTGTTTTTTGGGCGTTGAGTTTGATAAGCTCTTTATAGATTTTGGATACTAGCTCTTTATCTGATATGTTGTTTGCAAATATCTTCTCTCATTCTGTCGTTTGCCTTTTAGTTTTGCTGATTGTTTCCTTCGCTATGCAGAAGTTTTTATTTTGATGAGGTCCCAATAGTTCATTTTTGCTTTTGTTTCCCTTGCCTCCAGATACGTGTTGAGTAAGAAGTTGCTGCAGCTAATGTCAAAGAGGTTTTTGCCTGCTTTCTCCGCAAGGGTTTTTTTGATGGCTTCCTGTTTTACAGTTAGGTCTTTCATCCATTTTGAGTTTATTTTTGTGTATGGTGTACAAAAGTGGTCCAGGTTCATTTTTCTGCATGTTGCTGTCCAGTTTTCCCAGTACCACTTGCTGAAGAGACTGTCTTTATTCCATTGGGTATTCTTTCCTGCTTTGTCAAAGATTAGTTGGCCATACATTTGTGTGTCCATTTCTGGGCTCTCTATTCTGTTCCATTGATTTGAGTGTCTGTTTTTGTGCCAGTACCATACTGTCTTGATGATTACAGCTTTGTAATACAGCTTGAAGTCTGACTTCTTTAAAATTTTTCAATCCAAGTATTTGTTGATTTGGAGTTGCAACATAATGACAGAGTGTGGTATAGATAATTTGGGGAAATGAATTAACCAATAGAAAAGATTATCTGGTCTTGCTTTTTTCTGGATTAGTTTTAGAAAGAAGAGTGATTTGGGGTATTTGTTTTTCTATGCATTTCACTGCAGTGTTCATCACAGTACTATGTGCTGCTGTATTGACCCGCTATGATCAGTTCCAACAAGAGGCCACGAATATACGTACAAAATGGAAGAAACTGAACAAGGTGGAGAGATGGGTTGGAGAAGAGGGGAAGTGGCTCTGGGCCACCATGGCTATCTGTGACCAGGCAGGCACTACACCAGTACATTTTAATGCCTTTGTATTTGTCCTTACACTTGGCTAGTCCTATTAGTAAGTGACATGCTTGATGGTTTGTTGTTTTCCTTAATTTCCTAGAGAAAAGGTCTCTGAAAACTCTAAACTTTTCTGAGTGAAACTAAAAGAAACCGTTCCCCCCGCCCCCATCACACTCCCACCCACCCGCCCTGCCTGCATTTCCCAGTTTTGACTGAGGGTCCTGGATGAAAAGTTTGTAGGAAGCAGAAAGTAGGGGGATTATCAGGGATGGTGCTGTATTGAAACCAAGGAAAGGATGTATTCTAGGGCAGAACAATGTGGAGTAGTCTCACAGAGCTGAATTGGCACACTAGCTCTGCTGTGAGATCCTGAAGCACTTAAACCTTGTGAGACTCAGTTTCCTTACAGTAACATTGATCTAATGATGCCTATTTTAATTGGCTGTTTAAAGGTTTACATGAAATAACATATCTGTGAAGGGTCAAGAGGACTGTGTGGTATACAGCAGGTACTCAATCATGGTAGCAGCTACTTCTACTACTCTTGTCACCCGCACTGCCACTAGAGCCACCATCAGGTTGGAGAAAACAAGAAACCAGGTTAGCTCTTGTCTGCCACTTTTCCATTCTCTTGGATCCTGTTACTGGGGATAGAAAGGGCAAGACTTCTTTCAACAAAACCAGTTAGAAACCCATGACTCCATTGTTTTAGCTAAAGAAGTCGGTCCTGCAAAGATTTTACCAATAGTAGTTTAAAACTGCTTTGGTCTGGGAGGCTACACCAGGCACTAGAATTCTGATTCCAGGTATGTTCCCAACTGCAATTCAACTGTTCAGCCATTGTGATGACATGCCTTAGTTTTCTGAACTTCAGTTTGCCTTTTGCTAAATGAGACTGGAACTAGATCTCAATCCAATCAAATTGGTAGAAATGTTTGAGTAACAAAGGCCAAATAGCAAAGGATTTCTTGTGTATTTCTTCTGCTCTCTTGTCTCCCACTTTTGCCACAAACACACACATTCCATTGCTCTTTTTACAATAAAGGTTTTGATACAGTGAAGACACAACTGGGGAGCCCATGCGTCCATTTGTTCACTTACTCAAGGACCCTTTCTGAGCACTTATTACATGTTAGGCATTGACCTATTTAGGGAAGTGCTTGGGCTCCCCCAGGCATTGTAATGGAGGGTAATGAATCATGGCTTCATATAGGATCTGGCAGCATAAGAACTTTGTAAGTGGAAACAGTGGGTCAGGAAGCAAGGAGGCAAAGTCAGTCTCTGCATAATGAGAGAATGAGCTTGGAATGGTGCACTGTGATCTGGGAACCTCATTATTAGCAAGTTGGAGACACACTGGAGAGTGTTCAGAGAAAAGCCACAAGGATGATAAACGGGCGGAAAGACTGATTTATGAAGACTTACACAACAAAATATGTATTCTTGGATCAACAAAGACTTCAGAAGAAAGTGATCACTATCAACAACTCTCTGAAGGTTGTGAATTCCCCAGACGCACCCCAGAGGTGTTTGCCTGATATGTGAAATGTGACAAGGAATCAGAAGATGGCAAATTTAACCTGTGGATCAGGGAAAAACGAGAAATATAAATCTATCTAGGCCTTACTGATGGGAAGTAGCTTCCAAGGGCAATATCCTTAATCTGTTTTATCTCCTATATACATTTCTGCAGTTGTAATTATGCAAATCATTTGTTGTTTCTTTATGTTCAGGGGTTTTATGTGTGTTTCCTATTTACACACACCTTCCCTGAAGATGTCAAGAATGAAATATTTGATTTTTTTTTGTAACCTTCCACTTCAAAGGCTTAAAGATAAAAGCAGTTGAGTTATGGACAAATTGTTTTTTTAAACCAAAGTTTGCATGCTTAACCTTTGTTGAAAGTCGTTGTCATAATGTGAATTTTATTCCTATGAAAAGCCAGATGGGTGACTCTTTACAAAACTGTCCCTCAGTGACCTGATCAACAGTTTTACGCACACGCACACACACACACACGCATACACATGATACACCATAAAGCTTTCAAAGGATATAAAATCAATTTAAGGGCAGAATCCAATCCCATGCAATTTTATGTATTCGGGACTCCTGTGAGCACAGCAATTTTAGCTATGGGATAGAGGTGCAATACTTCAAGAAAATAGCCCAAGTGAGACCTGGACCTAAGGTTTGGGTCACAGAAACCCTCTAAAGAGCTGGGTCCTATGGACTGGCAGGGCTATTTGCTCTCAGCGTTGCTCACGTCAGTGTCAGGACATGGAACTGGGTCCAATAGAAGACTAACATTATATCTATTAAAATACTTTTTGGTCTCACAACCCTGGTTTCCACTGATGATCCAACCGGTTTCTGGGTGGTGAGTCTATGTCTGGATCAGGGCTGGGGTCGAGCACACAGCCAAGCTAAAACTGTGGGCTTGGTCCATCTCCCTGGCCACCACAGTGGTTGGCTCAGGGGCAGGCCTGCGACCTGAGCTGGGACTCAAGGACATTTTCTAAGATGGTACAGCTCAGATCTTCTCTTCATGGCCAGGGCAACATGAAGATATGAAAGCTGGAACTGCTGGGGTAAATTTTGCTGTCATGATGGGGGCCGGCCCGAGAAGGAGGCCTGTGCACAGACCCATGCAAAGCCAGAGGAAAATCACGGCGGGTGGAGCCAGAGTCCTGACAAAATCTGACAAAATCCTATCTGGCTGCCTATCTCTGCTCTTTTCAGTTATTAGCATTAATAAATGCCCTTTCATTATTAACTGCTTTTGACCTGGGCTTTGGTGCCTTGTGGCATAAAGAATCCCAATTACTATTTGAATAAGGGACCAGGTTGTATGGTAGAGGTCATGATTTCTGTCTAAGTGTGGAGGAGAGAAGGTCCATGTGAGCTGGGAGATAGTTACAGCCATCGTCGCAGGGTGGGGAGGAGGGAATAGAAGGCAGGAGGTAACTAACAGTTGAGTGTCTCCTAGGTTCCAGACATTGGGACTAGTCTTCACAGTCCACACCCATGACCAAACTGTTCTTTTTGTCTCCTTATCCTATTTTGTAAGTAAGAAAACTAAGGCTTGGACTAGTGGAGCAACTTGCTCCAGTCAAGTGGGGGAGACATAAAGATTTGATGAACCTGTGCTCTTCTCACGGCTCCTCGCTCTTTCAAGCCTACAGCTTGGGTTCCAGATACCTGTGTGTCAGTCCCAGTTCTAGGTGTTCAGCCTTGGACAAGTCACCCATGTTCTCTGTGCCTTCGTTTCCTCCCACGTAGCATGGTGATGATGATGCCCGCCTCTCAGAAGCATTCTGGAGCTTCATGTGTGGGAAGCCCTTGTGAGAGGTGAGTGTGAGGCATTATTCTTACTGGGGAAAGCTTCAGGGAGGAAATAACACCTGGCCTGGGGACAGTAGTAGGGGTGGGTTTCTGTGGGGAGTTAGCAGGGGAAGGATGAACTGAACAGATCGGCTGAGGCAAAGGCGTGGAACACAACTGAACTTTGGTCATTTGTGCAAAAGAAAAGAAACCGCCCCAGCAGCTCCTGATGTGAAGCTTTGGGGAATAAGTTCCAGGGCAGTGTTCCTTTATTTGTTTGTTTATTTGTTCATTTATCTTTCCACTTATTCAAGGAGAAATATACTCTCATAACTCCATTAACTTTCTTCCTCTTGCCTAAGTGCTAGTAGTCTACTGAAGTCACTCAATATGTGTAATTTCCCTAGCTTCTGTATCCCACGTGGCTTTCTTTCTCTCCTCGACACTTTCATCCTTATTTAATGACATAGATATTTATATATCAATATATAAATATTAATAAATATATCTCATTATGTGTATTTGTACATAAACATATATTTAATTAAAAATAAAAAAATATTTTAACCTTTTGATCTCCTTCACTGATTTCTCTTACCTCCCATCTCTGACAACCACCAATTTGTTTTTTCTATGAGTTTATTTATTTTTATTTTTTTTATATTCCACATCTAGTGGAGATCATACAGTATTGGTCTTTGTCTGACTTATTTAACTTAGCATAATGCCCTTAAGATCCATGCATGTTGTCACAAATGGCAAGATTTCATTCTTTTTTAATGGCTGAATAATACTTCATTGTGTGTGCATATATATACACACACACATAACATATATGCCCATATGTATATATACACACATATATACATATATACTATATATACATACATGTGTGTAGATAGACATATATGTCTATAGATAGATACACATTAAATTTTCCTTATCCATTCATCCTTTGATGGCCACTTAGGTTGTTACATATCTTGGCTATTGTAAATAATGCTGCAGTGAACATGGGGCTGTGTATATCTTTTCAAGTTAGTGTTTTCATTTTCTCCAGATAAATGCCCAGAAGTGGAATTGCTGGATCACATGGTAGTTGTATTTTTAATATTTTGAGGAACTTCCATACTGTTTACCATTGTGACTATGCCAATTTACATTCTCACCAACAGTACACAAAGGTTCCCTTTTTTCCACATTCTTGCCAACACTTGTTATCGCTTGTCTTTTTGATTCTAACTGGTGTGAGGTGACATCTTATTATGGTTTTGATTTGCATTTCCCTGATGACTGACGATGTTGAGCATCTTTTCATGTGTCTGTTGGCCTTCTGTATGTCTCCTTTGGAAAAATGTCTAATCAGATCTTATGCTCATTTAAAAACAATTTTTTTAACATATATTTATTTTTGAAAGACAGAGAGAGAGCACATGCAGGGGAGAAGGAGAGAGAGAGGGAAACACAGAATCCCAAGCAGGCTCTAGGTTCTGAGCTGTCATCACAGAGCATGATGCAGGGCTCAAGCTCACAAACCACGAGATCATGACCTGATCTGAAATCGGATGCTTAACCGACTGAACCACCCAGGCACCCCTCTTTTGCTCATTTTTAAATTGCATTGTTTGTTTTTTGCTATTGAGATGTATGAGTTCTTTAGATATTTTGGATATTAACCCCTTACCAGATATGTGACTTGGAGATAATTTCTCCCATTTAATAGGTTGCCTTTTTATTTTGTTGGTGGTTTCTTTTGCTGTGCAGAAGCTTTTTTGTTTGATGTAGTCTCACTATTTACTCTTGCTTTTGTTGCTTCGACTTTTGGTGTCAGATTAAA